AATGAGTGTTGTGAGTTGGAATATTTTCTTTACACTTCTTATGTTGGGAGGAATGAAGAGTGAGTACTTTCAAATTTATGCTTTTGTAGTGTTCAGTGTTACATCACAAACATATAGTCAAAAAGATGTCACCAGATAAGTTTCATAAATTTGATGTTGTCACATGACCATATTTGACGAATTGGAGTTCAATTTTTATGCACATCAGCTCATCATGACAAACTTAAGTACAAGATTCAATTACTCTTTTTAATTGGTTACAAAGTATTGATTTGGGCACATAAACTTTTTCTGTTTACATTTGAAAATGGATGGTCTCAGACGCTTTTTATTTATACCTCTAGGTCTAGGTGGTCTAGGTTTTACCGTATATTGACAATGGTATCATTTGTTTTCTTGTTCTTGAATGAAGCCAAATCTCCCAAAAACTTGCTCAACAGGATATACAAGTGAAAATCCAGGGGTGACAAGCAAACTTGCTTATCAATTACTTTTTGTTGAAAAACATATTCGTAATTCATACATGTACTCTGGAGAATCTTTCTTGTCTGTGCAAATAGCCACAAAGTTGTTCTGACAAATTTAATTGAATGTAAATCCGCAAAGCATGATATTTTGTTGTGTGGCGTATGTCAATGGTTTCTCTGTATTAATGATTCATTTCTGGTATTACAGCAACTAGAACAGAGCTCAGTGCATGAAAGCTCTTCTGAAGAATACATTCTAATTCAAGAAAAAGGTATAGAGATGAGAAAAAGACATCTGTCAAGCAGTAGTCAAACAGAAGACGATAGAGACAAACCTGTTAAAGAGCAACAGGTGAATATAATACTTGTAATTTATTTACAATGCATTGAATGAGTTTTTGAACTCACTCATGTGATGATAACCATTGCATTTTTTTTAGAAAACTGGATTTATTATTGATGACTTGAAAGCTGGATTGATGTCTCAAGATGTATTAACCTTTTCACCACCAGTTCACAAAATAGTTCCGTTTATAGTCTGCACTTTCCTTCAGAAGATTCAGACAAAAATAGTCAAATTTTTTGAGTAAAAACTGAAAATTTACCAACATTTTGTCTGTTGGCTCCAAAATTAAGGTTTATTTCCAGAAATATTGAAGAATATGGAAAAAATAGTGCAGAAAAATTGAGAAGGAAAAGTCGGGTGGTGAAAAGGTTATGATTTCAATGTATGTTTACATTACCTATTGCTTTCTCTTTGCCATGTTTAGTGATTCCTATGGTGATCCCT